GCACAAACCTAAATATAAATGAATGGTCTATGACTACACATGCAGAAACCTTCTCCCTTACTACACATGATGTGAATAGCATACATGCTGATAATTTCCTACATGCCACCAGGTGCTATTGCCTATTATTTCCTTCATATAGCGGTTGCATTTTTCAAGATCATGGGGTTCTCTCTTTCTCTCCCTTTTGGGGGATAAAGTTCATGGGGTTCTTAGGATTTAAGGGAAGAGCATGGTAGTTGAGTTGTCAGTTGTCACAAAATACATTGGCAAATGAGGCTGAAGTAAACTGCTGATGTGTTTGTACCTAAAATCCAAATAAGAAGCAATACAAATTAAGGAACACACCCTGATAATAGTGAGTTGAAGGTAGTGGCTTGATTATACATCTCAGATGAGGATACAGTTACTGACATAGGGTCTAAGGATAACTTAGGTCTCAAAACACGAGAGGTAGCATTGACTGTCAACAGTCATGGAGGCATGCTATGAAGAAATAAAAACAATCAGCTCTGTTACTCCACCTTTTCTCTTCCTGAAACTAATGGTCTATAGTATATAGAAAAAAAATAAAACAAAGAACAAAAGAAAGATCAGATTTTCTGAAATCACAGATGCTGGTTCTTTTCGCTTCATTTCAAACAAGTTATAAATGTACAAGACATTGTTAATAAGGATATTACCTTAAGAAGGTATTGTGTTAACAAGCTTCCCTTGGTTGAACCAACTCTACCACCAAAACCAGGCCCTGTTATTGGCAGCTCAGGTTTATGCGACTTCAGTGGATCCTTCAGTTCTTTCTCTCGCTGACGCTTGCGACTAGGTTGATCTCTAAATAAGGGTAGTGCATGTGGATTATGAATAACTGGTTCTGCCTGAAAATCATCCACAGACTTTTTCCTGGGTGCACGAGCAACACAAACCAGTGCTCCTCTTTCACTCAGTGTTGGATCATATAGAATGTGTGTTCCACCTTCATGTTTATCCCCAACTGTTGCAAAGATCTGAGATAGAAGGGAAAACTTTTAGACCAAAAGCTCAACCTTTATGCATGCTAAGATGAGAAATAAAAACAGAGAGTAGGAGAAGTTGGTCACAGGAAACGAGCTTCTAAAACTACATATACCTTTTTTTTCTTTCTTGGGATGAAAGACTTTTGCGGGGAGCAGGTTTAAAAGAACACATTACAGCATAATTATAAAAAATGTATTCCTTCTTCATGATATGCATAGTGGTCACCAGTCACCACAACATGCGTGTAATCAAGTGACATAACGGAATATTTGCTAGACTAGGTAATCTGAAACTACCTGATTCAGCCTAGGGTGCCAGGCACACTGCACAACACTGTAAGTAGGAGATATTCCAACTCTTGATACTAGCTCTAGCTTTCCTCGATCAAAGAAGCATAGCATTCCTCCAGTAGTCCCATCTTTTTCAACAGACGTCCCAGTTATGAACAACTGTTCATCAGGACTAAATGCAACGTTAGTTTGAGCATAATTATTTGGGAGATCATCAAACACTTTCAAGGGTTCTTTCATCTGGCGCAAATCCCAAACCTATGAAGCCAAGTCAAGATTATTACGCATCAGAGAAGATGAATGCCTGTGTACAAACTAAATATCAGGCTCACTTCAGATTTTACTAATACCTTTAAGGAACAATCAAAACTTCTTGACAACAGTATCCGCCCATCACTTGAAAATTTGACTCCTGTAATATCATCTGAATGGGCATTTGCTACATATATATCTGGTCTGCTCCCCCATCCAGGTTTAAGATTCCATATCTTTAAGAAAGACGTTCATATGGGCAAGGATGAGCTGAGACAAACAAAAACAGATAATTGATGTCTTTCTTACACTCAATCTGTAGGAGAAATACCTGGATAGAACCATCTCCTACACCACCTGCAATGCTTTTTCCTTCCCGATCCCAAGCACATGTTGTTACAGGAACTCTCCCAGGCCGAGCAAGTTTTGGTTTAATAACCTACACAGTGAAGCTAGACACAATCAGACTTAGGTTCAGGCCGGAATCTGTTAACATCAAGAAGGCAAATACAATAACAGCAACAAGGACATCAATGTTGTTTTGGTCAATGATGTTCAAGAAACCCTGTTCAAGATCCAAAAAGAGAAAATAGCGTCTGGAGGTTAAACGACCTCAGAAGAGGTTAAAATGAAAGATAAAAATGGTGTCACATTCTAGAAGCAGCAAGGTATTACCCTAGTGTTTGATTTCACAATAGACCATATTGAGCAACTTTATTAAGAGATTTACATATGGTGTATTTGTATCATCCTACTAGACAATTCATCTAACCTCTCCAACCCCAATGCCTCTTTTTTTCACATACATGTAAAAAGGAGATTCCTCCTCCATAAATAAAACTAACTAATCTCAATAACACCAGATAAAGGAAATGACCAAATGACTCCAATCTGAATATGTTGCTTTTATTCTTTAACTCAGTATTAAATTTACAGTAGAGATGAGGATTCCACTATAGGTCATATTATCTGAAAATGCGAAAAAAAGGTCCTTCCTCCAGTCACTCAATAATACATGTTGTAGCAGTCAATGACATCCAGTTGTCCACCATGCTATGCAAAATCGTCTATTTAATGAGGAACACAAACCTGCTTTTGACTCTTAAAGTCATTGACATCCCACAGGCGCAACGAACCATCCTCTGACGAAGTTAAAATTGTCTCCTTTGTTTTAGGGTGCCATTCTCCACATGTCAATCCAGATATATGACCTTTTGTATTCTTAAGATCACGTATATACATGTCTCCTCTAACAAATTCCCCAAGTGTAAGTCCATCGCGATCATAGATCTGAAATACAAAAAGATAAATCAAGTTAAACCACACCATACATAGACTATTGATGCGAATACAGAACCATGTATAGACTAGCACCTTTGCTTGGGCTGACCCAGTAACACATAAAAATCGGTCTGCTGTTGGACTCCAGCTCAAACTACGAACTTGATGCCCTTCAGATGGTTCCAGCTGTCTAAACGACTGTAACCGAGCATTCATTCCTTGAAAATCATACATCCGAACAGTATAGTCATAACTACCAGAGAGAACCCTTGATCCTGAATGGTCCACAGTAAGAGCTGACACAACCTGCCAGAAGTGTGAGAAAACATCTCTTTAGAAAGACCCTCTAGGAAGATAAAGAAAGGAAGTTTTAAGCTGAGGATAAGACATTCCCTCTTAATTTCTATACTGCATGCAGACATATCTCACTTGATCAAGCACAAAAATTCCAACCGCATCAACAATAAGCACGATAACACTTTGATTAGATAACCAAATCCAACTGGATCTTCTTTGCAAGTTTAAACTCCATTTAAGATGCATGTACACATAACATATGCATTCAAGTAAGACTAGGCGGAACACTAAATTCAATCTAGGAGAGGCATGAACTTCAATCTATTAGCAGAACTCAAAACGAAAGTAACAAGCTGGACTCAACCTACAAGTCTTGATATCTACGTACAGAGGCTTTATCATATTATCACTATTTTTACACAGTCCATAATTTATCCAGCAGAGTCAGGACTGGCTATGCTAAGTTCACACAGGCAAAGTTGAAAGAGCTGATTATGTAATGTATTTGAAGGACACCATACATGTATACATTAAAGAAGGCAAAACAATTAATAAAAATGGCACCTTTGTATGTCCTTTTAGTACTATTTCATTACTCAAGGGTATCCTATACTGATTTTGTTCTTCTTCTTCTTCCATATCGTCCTCCGAGTCTGACCCCATTGAACCCGATGGCGGTGGAGGTGGCCCAATCATCTCCCCATCCTCCTCTTCTAACGGAGGTCGTGGTGGCCCAATCATTTCACCATCCTCACCCTCCTCCGTCTTTGCATCAACAGCAGGTCGAGGTGGTCCAATTATACCACCATCCTCCTCCTCTTCCTCTTCCTCTTCCTCTTCCTTGTCATTGCTCGAACCCAAACAAGCAGTAGGACGACTCGGCCCGATAATCTTCGACTTAGAATTGGATTCATGACTAGATTTAGGGTTTTTGAGGGAATTAAGCCAGGATTTGGAGGAAGATGATAAAGAAGGGAAAGGTGATGGCTCGAGTTTACCGTCGGCAGTTTGAGTAACGGAGGAGGTGTTGTTCCGGCGAGTAGCGTTGTGAACAAGTTCGAGAGATTTTTGAGATTTAGCTTGCTTACCAAACGACAACGGGAACTGTGCCCTAGCTCCGTCGTACATCTCTGCTTCATCGTCGGCCATACTAATAGTCTCACTGTGTATTCTCTATTTCTGAAACTTTTTTTTGATTTGCAGTAAATTTATAGATTCCGGGAGAATTTATCTGCCGCCATTAGAGAACTGTTTGCCGGAGGGAAATTTTGGAGAAGATGAAAATGGATCCACTCCGGATCCTTCCGGGATCCGACCCGGATAAATACTCTCTCTTCTATACTAAATGATTTTTTTTAAAACAATTTTGATATTTTAATTATGATATTTAATTTATAAAATATTGTATTATTATGATATTAATCTAATTTGATATGATTCGATATTTTAAAGTTTCATATTTTATGATTTGTTAAATCACGATAATTATAATTTATTCAATTTTAACTAATATATACTCGTATAATAAATATTATGACTCGATAATTAAGAAAAATATTAATTATATAATACTAACACATATCACACATATATATATATATCAAATATCATAATATCAAAATCATGATATATAAAAATTCCATATGGTGTGGTAATTATTATATATGAGAAGGAAAACTAACTTATGTTAGGATTACAAGTTTAAGACTACGTCTGGATTGACTATTTTAAAATATTTAGTAAAATTAATAAATATTTATAAACATTTGTTTTAAATTTAAATAATAAAAATAAATCAAACCTAAAATTTCAACTTATAATTTATAAGCGTAAAGTCAATTCAAATATACTCTCAATTAATTTCGAATCGTAAAAACTAAGAAAGAAAAGAATAATAGATCCATTGATAAGGCATATCTCTAGGACCGCTAAATCCTTCCTTACCCATTTCTTCCTCATTTGCTATGTCTTCCAAAAAAGGCGGAGTTTCACTACCGGATCGTCCCGGTGCTGGCGCCGGAGCCGGAGATGGTATCCTTTCTAGGTTTTCATCATCCATATCTGAATCACCGATTGTGTACCAAGGGAAGCGAGCCGCTTCCGATGTCGCATTTGTAGCCAAGAAACTTTTCAAGAGTACCGGAAAAGCCGCCTGGATCGCCGGAACTACCTTTCTGATACTCGTTGTTCCGTTAATTATCGAGATGGATCGCGATGCGCAGCTCACTGAGCTCGAGATGCAACAAGCTAGCTTGTTGGGAGCACCTCCTCCTGCAGGAGCAAAGTGAGGATTTTGATTTCGTTTTTTTTTTCTGTCTTTAGGTAAGAGAATTCAGGGATATTGATTACTTTTTTTACTGTTTTAGAAACCTTGCAATAAGACTATGCTATGGAATTTTCTAATTTAGGGTTTTGAAACCCAATCCGTATAATGTGCTCGATTCAATCTTTTGGGTCGGATCGAATTTTTGGGAATTGCTTTCTCTATTACTATGTTATCATAAACAGGAATACCCAAATTTGCAGCTATCCTTGAGTGAGAACTTTCCTTTTCAGCTGCTGTAGATGGAAAAAAGTACTCTTTTTAGTGTTTTGATGGAGTTAGCAATTATATGATGCTACAGGATGTTCGAATTCACACAACTTGTTTAGTGAGAATTTTGGATTTCATCTTCTGTAGATGAAAAAAGTGTTCTTTGTTAGCGTTTTGATGTTATCAGATGTCTGAATTTAGCTGTTTGCACCCTGTGTTGCTCGCACTCTTCAGAAACGTCAACGGTGTGTGTTGGATCCTCCAAAAGTAAGTGTGTTTTTGGAGGATCCGACATGGGTGCAGCAACAATTTTGTAGAGTCCAAGTTTGCACCCAACATGTTTAATGTCCTGGACTGATTGAATGTTTCATGTAGCAGATCTTATATTGGCAATTGCCTTTTCTGTCATTATGTTTCGTGCACAACCAAAGGGTTGCGGCTGCGTGTTTCGTTGTCATCAAAAGAAAAACTATATGATGCTACAGGATGTTGAATTTATGGTTTTGCACACAACTTGTTTAGTGAGAATTTTGGATTTCAGCGTCTGTAGATGAAAAAAGTGTTTTTTGTTAGCGTTTTGATGTTATGAGATGTCTGAATTTAGCTGTTTGCACCCTGTGTTGCTCGCACTCTTCAGAAACGTCAACGGTGTGTGTTGGATCCTCCAAAAGTAGTGTGTTTTTGGAGGATCCGACATGGGTGCAGCAACAATTTTGTAGAGTTCAAGTTTGCACCCAACATGTTTAATGTCCTGGACCAGTTGAACGTTTCATGTAGCTGATCTTATATTGACAATCGTCTTTTCTGTCATTATGTTCTCATATGCAGGAATGCATGGCTTCTAGAGCAAATTCTATTTGTTTTTAACCATTTTGGACTGCCAAGCTTACCTAGTGATTGTAGTGACTAGGGTTATAGGTTGTTGAGCAACTGGAGAGTTGCCATGAGTAAGTTTTCGGGATGTTGGATTGTGATGTCGAGTTGCTAAATACCTAGAGTTTTCTGGTCATAATCTGATACGCTAGATATTGATGTTTGATGAGGTTAAGAACGGAATGTTTATGAAATGCAGCAAATCTAGTTGGAAAATTTCTGCTAAACCTGATTGCAGAATGATGGTAAAGTTTTTACCTTCTTGTTTTTATATTGTGAATAACGTGGAGCGGATAAGAGGATTCATATGGCTGACTCCAACTAGTTTTTGTTGAACTTAAGGACGGCCTGGATATGAATAGATTTAGCAGTACTTGTGAGGTCTGTATCGCGGGTTTTTTGCCTCCGCAGAATGATGCTTGTAACTTCATGTAGAAGGGCTAGTCTGAAACAAACTTGATTTCTAACACAAATACCGATAGATTAACATAGAAGAAGGTAACCAGAAGAGGATGAGATACTAGAGAACATATAACTGAAAGCCAAAGCTTCAACATTATAGTTTTCATATCCGTTCTTCTAACTTCTAGTCCATTTTAACAAATGGAGCCAGCTTGGTTCACAACAATGCTCTCGCCCTCAAAAAGAACCTTGTCCTCAAGGTTCGAGTGGACAAATGGAAAAATGCATACACCATCGTCGTCCTGGATCCCACACTCGAGTCATATAATTAACATACGCGATGAAGCAAAACGCGTCAACAAACTTGATTTCTCGAATACAAACACTGATATATAATATTCACTGGATACAAATTACAACGTATGATATGCTCAACAAAGTAATCGTTCTGTATGTAGCACCTTATTTTTCAGCACTCGGATGGTACAATCAGACCGGACATCCATAAGAACAACTTATTAATTATATGAGCTGACTTCGAGTTTGTATAATTAGTCACATTTGTATATGTATACCTAAAAAGAAAAGTTAAATACTCTTGGTCCAACTAATTGTCAAGCATAATACTAAATAAACACTTTAATTTAATTTTAATTTGCGGTCAAACACATCAATTATTAAAATACACATCTAAAGATCTTAACTCGTTCTTATTATGTCTCCTAGATACTTCATGTTGTATAATCATTTTGTAAATTTATGTATTTAAGTGATTCATAAGTGGTTTATGTTTGACAATAAATTCAAAGTATTAAAAACTAAAAATAGTGTATTATGTTTGATAATAAATTCAAAAAATACCAATTTTATCTCTTTTAGTATTGTATAATCGAAGTTTCATTGTTAAATTATATTATAAATTGTAAAAACAGAAAACATTTAATGGAACTCACATATGCAAGTATTGATTTTGTCATATTGGTTTTGTAATTTTTAAGATTCAATTTGTGTGTGTGTTTTTTTTTTTGCGTTTGTTAAATTTATGTTGCATTTTTGAAATTTCGTTGAAATTTATATTATAGGAAAATTGGTTTTGTATATGCTATTTTATCATTTAGGCATTGAATCATATAATATGAAGGGACATCTACGATAACTGTTTTTCTCATGAAAGCGTTGATGAAGATGGCAAAACGATCATCATGATTGTTTCTCAACCTATCTACAATGGTGCATTTGCTGAAATATGTGAAGAAAGATGATGAGCAAACGAAAAGCTAGTCATTGAAGACGCTGAGAATAGCAAGTTAAAAAATCAGGTCATAGTCATTGGTTCCTAATTTCTTTTTATTTAGTGAGTGTTTGACTTAAATTGTTAGTTGAAGGGAATTATCGACCATCATATTATCTTAATAACGTTCCTTAAATTTGTAAAAAAGATAATCTTTATCCAATTCATTGTCTTGATTCATTGAATATGTGGTTTAGATGTGCATTCTCTAATTTGAACTATTTAGTTACGTGAGATTATCACTATATTCGATATATGTTTTCTTATTTTCTCAAGTTTGATACAAATATATTTTCTTATTTTCTCAAGTTTGATACAAATATACGAATTTGATAGGTTTAAAAAATTTAGACAATATTTTATTTAGAAAACATTTCTTTGTGAAAGTTTAACTTAACGAAAATCAAGAAAATAAGTGGTATTGTTTCCTAGAATAAATTCTTCATTTAAAATTTAAGAATTTTTCTGATGTAGAGAAGCTAGAGTAAGGTCTAGTTGAAAATGAAATAATTGTTAATTGTGTCATAAAGAAATTTTATATTCAAACTAACACTCTGATCGTTATTCTGAAGTTAACTCTTTGCACTGAATTAATATATAAATTATAAGTGCAATTTTTATGAATATAAGTTTGTTTTTAAAATTATATATATAACATTTTACAGAAGTTGCTATACTAATATAAAAAATAATAATATTGGATTCATGTCCATGGTAAATTCATACTCCCTTTGTTTCATGTTACTTATTTATTTATCCATTTTAGCAAATCAAAAAAGTCAACTTACTCATGTATTCATATCAAATTTAACAATAAATAATTACATAACATAGTAATAGCAAATTTATAATTTTAATGTATCACTAATAAGATAGTTTAATAAATAAAAAATTCTAACAAAAGTTTTTTAAGAATTATATCGAGTCAATATGAACCATATAAAATAAAAATAGGTTAAAATGTGGATCTAATGCCGAAAAATTGAAAAAAAATGATTCATTTTCTTTGATTTATTGAGTTTGTGAGGAATAAACACATTTGATTTTTGACAAATATTTATCAAACTTTGATTATTAAATTTAATCAAAATAGTGCATAACAAATACTAATAAAGTATAGACGATAAGAATTTTTCAACCAAAAATTCAGAAATGCAATATAAATATTATATTAAATGCAAAAAAAAAAGTAACAAATTGAATGTTAAAAAGAGTCCCAAAATGACAAAATCAAACCTTAGCAAATGTGAGTTCCATTATATATGTTCTGTTTTTACATTTTTTAAATATAATTTAACAAGATAAAAATGGTCAAGTGATACTTAAGAGACTATTTTTTGAATTAATTGTCAAATAAAATATTCTATTTTTACTTTTTTTATACTTTAAATTTGTTGTATTGAGTAAGAGGTTCTTCGAAAATAAATTTTCTATCTCCACGATTTAAAATTTTTTTCTATCTCAATTTATAAAATTCACATTTCCTTTTTTGTCGGTTTTCAAAAGTTATTATCTTTAAATGCCTATTTTATCGTTTATGAAATACTCCATATATTTCATATTAAGTGATTTTTTTTAAACTTTTTAGTTGTTTAAAATAATTAAATTGTTCAAAGTTTGAGGTAGATGTTTGACGTTTTTTTTTTCTCTTCATATTTGTCTTTTTCTTTAATAAATTTATATTTTTAGGTGATGAGTTGCATTACTTATGAAGTTATATTCAAGATTTCATGAAACAACAATCATGGAAAATTATACTACCTGCGTTCCTATTTATATTTTACCATTTTAAATTTTACGTCCCTTAGAAATATGTAAATTTAGTACTCTTATTTAGTATTTTCTTGAATTCAAGTTTTTAATAATTGAACATAAATTAACTTATTTTGATTAATTAAATAGGTCAATAAATATGAATTAATCATCTAGTTTTCCTATGTTGGTTAAGTTTGTAGTTTCAAAGCTAATAACTCTCGAGAGAAATAATAAATAGAAGAAATAATGTCATTTATGCACTGATTTGTGAAATAACAACGTAAAAATGTTTTTCTTAATAGACGTGTATTGCTTACAAATGCACTTAAAATGAAATAGAGGAAGTAATTTGATAGCTACATAAATACCTATAATTTATCTATATCACAAATTTTAAAAATATTTATTTCGTAAACTCTTTAAACTATATCACATAAATTAAAGGAAAGTAAAAAAGTTGGTAAACTTGTAGAATTCCACTAATTTTAGATTAATTACTCAAAAACACTCTAGTTTGCAATATTATGAATCTTACTAAATTTAGTGCGTCCAGATACATCCAAATATATGTATCTCGGGATATGTAGAGTCAAAATTATGTGTAATTTTTTTAGATACATTGTATCCAAGTAGATAATGTATCTAAGATGCATAACACATCTTGTTCGTCTCCTCTCACCCCGTGCATCTTATTCTTCACTCTCTCATGTATTTAGTATCAAAAGATGAGCTACGTGGAGCTCAGGTTTCAGCTGAACATGCTTTATGAAAAAAAACACATTTTACATACAAGGTCAAATATTAATTTTATGATATATATACATTATAATGAACGTCTTTGACATTACTCCCTCCGTCCATAATTGTTTGTCATGTTAAGTTCATGCACACTCCTCATGGAAAATTTAATACAAGGTGTAATTAGACTAATATACCCCTATCAAGAATATCAAAAGTCTAATTAACTTTTCAATTGAACTACATTATCATTAAGGGTAAATTTGAAAAAAACTGACGAATTATTTCTTGATTATTTTAAATTTGTGCAAAATACCTAATATTTTTCGGGCTCAAATTTGAGCTCATAATCGTGAATTTCCAACCCAATAAAAACGTCTTATTATTTTAGGACGCAGTGTGAAACTTTATTTATTTATTTATTTATTTATTTATTTATTTATTTTATTTTCATTATTTTTTGCTATTTTATTGTATTTTTCAATTTATTTTTGTTTAACTTTATTAGGCATATTTTTTTATTGGAAAAATTACTTGGAAAGATACATTTTAATAAATAGTTACTGATTTTAGCGATACTTTTTATTTATCACCATTTATAGCAATATTACATTAAATCTGCAATATTTATTAAAAGTGAATTATGTATGCAATAAATATGTATTGTAACTGATTTTAAAAATATATTATGCTTATTTTGTAAGAAATTGACACATTGTATTATATTTATATTAAAACATATAATAAATGTATTAATCATCAATAATACTTGTATTATATGTGAATAATAAATTGTTCTTTGTAATATATATTATAAATGTATCATAAATACATTTAAAGTGATAAAGTGAAAAAAATATTATTGTTATAAAAATAAATATTTTCTTAATATGATATATTTATGTAAGTTTCCCTTTTTTTATTCTTCTTGTTTCTATCACTCTTTTTGTTTCTACATTAACTTTCTTATAATGATTCAACTTGAAGAAACTCTTTTAAAAAATTAATGAATTATAATTAAATTTGAAATTGAGTTTGGAAAAAATATTAATTTAAAAGAAGGTAAATAAAATTTAATGGAATGAAGAAATTTAAAAGTCACCAATTTCTTTTAACAATATCTATTTAATCAAACTTTCTTTCTTTATTTCTTAGTATTTTCTACCTTTCCTTTTCAATTTTATCCTATATGGTAGATGAAAATTAAGCTAAACTTTTTTTTATAGAAAAAATAAGTAACTAATCTAATAAATTAAATTAAATGAATTATAGAATTGATGATTCATTTATTTATCTTCTAAATATGCATATTATAATATTAGTATTAATAAAATCTAAAGAAGGCTCGATGAAGTAAGTAAAAGCAGGAAGAACTTAAACGTGACATGATAAGAGAGGTTAAATTTAGAGCCTGTTTGGCTCAGCTTAAAAGTTGGTCAAACTGACTTAAAAGCTGGTTTTTAACTTATTTAAACAATACTCAAAATAGTTTATTTTAAGTTAAAAAAACTTATTTTAAGCCAAAAGTTAAAAGCTGGGGTAGGGGTGCTTTTTTTTTTTTAGCTTATAAGCTGTTTTAAGTTGACCATATTTTTATGTTTTTTCCCTTAGTATTTTTATACAATCTCCAAATTACCCATATAATCCTAACATCTCTTTCTTCTATTTTTACCTTTTCACGTTTGGCATAACAACTTCAGCACTTTTATCCAAACGCATAACTGCTTATTTTAAAAATAAGTTTCAGCACTTTCAAAAGTACTTTTTTAAAGCTGCTTTTATTAAGCCCAATCCAAACGGGCCCTTAGTAGGTAAAAATTAATATCTTCGTTCTCTGTCTCGCTCTGTTTTTTTATCTTGTGATTTTCATGTGTTTGGTTTTTTACACTGGATCACTCTTGTTCCTGTTTAGTCCCCTTCATTTCGGAATATTTCTACATCTTTTTTTCCCTCACTTTCCACCCTTTCTCTTATTTTTATATTTATGTTTTTTCGATTTCTTAGTAAGAATGGGTGAAACATTCTGCCTAAATAGTATACACAAATAATAAATAAGAGAATACTAAAGATTCGAGCAGTAAAATTTCTCAATTCTAATACAAGGGACTTATTATATCAAATGTACTTCTTCGATCAAAAAGAATGATGTTTTTCCCGCTGTTCATTAGCCAAATACATGTGAATCACACGAATTACATATAAATACATATATCAGTGTGATTCATATATATTCATGATACTTATAGACAAATTTCGCTCGCCTCCTTTTTATCCTCACCCGTCTTTCTCTCTATTTCAGGATATCTAATAGCAAAAAACATATATCTAACATGAAATTATTAGTTGACATTATTAAAATTTCACATAAATTAAAACAAAGAAAATAATAAAATTTACTTAATCTATGCTCTCGAGAATAGGCATATTTTTCATTATTCTTATTTCAATTGCTCTTTTTGTTTCTACATAATTTTCTTTTCATAATTTAACTCGAAAAATACTTTTTTAAAAATTAATGAATTATAATTAAACTTAAAATTGAATTCGAAAGAAAAAACATGAACATATATAATAAGGTAAATAAAATTTAATGGAATGAAGTAATTTATAAGTCATCAATTTCTATCTTTTTAATCAAAATTTATTTTTTTAATCTCATAGTATTTTCTTCTTCCAACTTTTTTTCAATTTTAAAACTAAGCTAAACTTATTTAATATATTTATCATTTGTTTATCTTAATAAATGACTAACCTAATAAATTAAATTAAACAAATTATAAAATCGACATTCATTTTGATTATCTTTTGAATATACATTATAGTATCAGTAATGTCACTTTTACACATTTTTAAATTATCTTGACGATTTTTAAAGTAACATAAAATTGAATCAACACTATTTAAATTTTTTCAATCTTTTAAAAATAAAGTAAAACACGACAAATTATAAGATAAAATATCAAAAATTTTAAGAAAGCTTGATGAAGCAGAACTTAAACGCAACATGAGAAGACAAGTTAAATTTAGCATGTTAAGATTAACATCTTCGTTCTCCATCTCGCTCCATCTTTTTTATCTCACGATTTTCCCGTGTTTGATTCTTATATTCTCAACTCCCTCAACGGAGATTTTGGGTTCATTATTATCACACGAAATACATAGACATACATATTTAAATGTGACATGAGAAGGCAAGTTAAATTTAGTAGGTTATTATTAACATCTTCGTTCTCCATCTCGCTCCATTTTTTTTATCTCGTAATTTTCCTGTATTCGATTCTTTATATTTTAACCCTTCAATAGAAATTTCGAGTTCGTCACTATCACACGAAATACATAAACATACATATATTAAGTGTGATAAACATATATTCATGAGATATATAGATAAATTTCATACATATCCCTTCGTCTTCCTCTCTGTATTTCAGTATATTTAATAGCAAAAAACATATATCTAACGTGAAACTTCACACAAAATTAAAACAAAAAAAAAACTTACTTATAATCTATGATCTCGAGAATATTCTACACTTTCTAGACTCTAATTATACTCTCGAGAATACTCTACACTTTCTAGAACCTAATTATACTCTCGAGAATACTCTACGCTCTCTATAGACCCTAGTCCACGCGTCAAACTCTCAAGAAGAAATATTTGTCTCGTGTTCTCTTTCTCCTTTTCTATATAATGAAATTCTCCGCCCTGCCTTTCACTTTCTCTCTGCAAATCTAACTTCTCTCTCCGCCATTGCTGTTTTTGGAATCGAAGCTCATTTTACATGGTAACGAACTACTCATTCTCTAGTTTTAGATACATTATTCAGAATCAGCATCGAAAATTTTAAGTTTATATGTAAATTTTTGGTTTGTGTGGAAAATCTTAGTAGCGCAGTTGGTTGACTGTATATCTGAACGTTTATGTTGTTAGTGAGGGTTCAATTACTCGTCTTGTAATTTTACATCTCATTTGCCCCAATTTTTTTTTAAAAATTAATGTTTTGTTGAAAGATGTTCTGTTTACGTTTTCTTATCTTGTGATTACGTATCTCACTGCTAAGTATTGTTTTTTTTTTTTCGAAATGGGCTATGGGAAATGGGAGAGGATTGAGGTGAAAATTTAGGTAGTTGAACAAATGAGCTTTTAAGATTGGCGATTGTACTCATTGTTTTGTTTAATTTTGTAACTGAGAAAAGTTTCATTTGAGTGTGTGTGTGTGTGTGGTAGACTGTATTGTCACCACTCTGTTTGAGTGTGTGGTTTTATTTTTCTTTAATTAGCAAGTGTAAAAATTAAATGAAGTTTTTTATATCGTGTGATGTCGATTTTCATTTCGAACATGTTTATTTCTTGTTTTTGGATTGTGGATATTTGTTTTCTTTAGGATTGGTTGCCTTTGGATTGCTGTTAGGTAGAATTTTATTAGCTTGCAGTTTTGGGTGAATTTTACTGGTGTAGCAACTATGAGAGTTGCTTTGAATTTTAATTGGCGTTTCGCCGTAGATTCCTAATATTTTTCACTTTATTTGGAGTTTATGGAGTTGTTTTTGGCTATACTTTTTGCTAAGAATGTTTGGAAGAATTTTCATGCTTAGATGTAGTTAAATACTACTTCAAAAGTGAAAAGTGAATTGGAAAACGGATTATTAATTGTTTTCCAAATTTGACATACAACGTCAAGTTGGTTTTGGAATTTAAAAATGTACTGATTTTCAAATGTAGTGAGAAACTATTCCGGAAGAAAGTGAATGTTTTTATGACTACATGGGTATCTGTTGTGGTGCTTTAGTAGTACTCTTGTACATGAATTTCCATGTTTTATTCTCCTTTGGTAGTACTTTTATCATTTATTTAGATAGAAATGAATTTCGCTGACTTGCTATTCTTCAATTCTCCTACAGTTTTACAGTTTGGGTGAATTTGCCATGTTTAACAATTATAAGAATAGCTTTGGAATTTGGATTTTATTTTCCCAGGAGTGTCGAGTGATTTTGTGGCTGCATTGTGTGTCTATTTGCTGTGGAGCTATAAGAGTATTGTTGTGCATAATTTACCATGTTTTTGTTTCCCTCAATAGAACCTTTTTTTGTTAAACAAAGGTGATGTTGGAGCCAACTTGAGTGCACCACGGCTAATCCCACAGGTTACCTGCTGCCTCCCGTCAAGAGAGGTAAAGGTAACCTTGCTTGCCAAGAATTACGCAGATTAAAGGAATTCACCCCGATTCTGCGGGAATCTGTGCAATCGAGGTTCTTACGCTAGCTCTTGGATCACTTGCTGTCTAGGTTATTCTTCTTTAATGTAGTGCAGTATTTTCAGTTATATCAATTTGATTGTTCATCTTAAAAGTTAAATTCCTTGAAATTGCTTTCTGCTGTGTGTGGATGAAATTTTAGTTTTAGTTATGAGAGATGCTCGTAAAAATCTTTATGTTTTTCTTATGTCCTTCCATGTTGGTAATATGTTTAGATTCAGAGCATGTTCGTATTGTTTATGCTTAACAATAATTTAGCGATAATATGGTGGTGTTAGTTGGTAGTTTCATCACAAACTTTGCATCTCTCTTTTACAATGAATTGCGAATTTGCGTTTGCCTAGGTTGTAACTCTTTACTCTTCTTAAGGCTAAGAGTCCTTTGACATGCATACTTATTGTCCACAGTCAAATCTACTTATTAGTCACTATCCTATGTTTTCATCTTCTATCCCTAATTAGGCTGCCTAAATCCTTGGTGGGACTTACTGGGAAATAGCTCCTGTTTTAGAAAAGAACCATTTGGCTGAATGAATGCTATTATCAAGCATGCGTAGGTTTTACATGCAAAATAAAGCTCTCCAGTAGCATCGCCCTGGTGTCATATCTCGCTTGGCTAAACTCTGGGGATCTTACTGCCCTAGACAGACATGTTTTTTCATCGTAAATGCAATAGCAATTACATGTAACTTAAGTGCCGCATGACAGCTATATGAGCACTCGAGTATTTAAATGATATTGGAACATGTGTGTCTATGCGTAAACATCTTGTTTGCATTTCAAGTTAGTTGACAATCCAGAATTAACTTTTAGCTAATGGAGGAGCAAAGATATCTAGCAGGATATTTGTCCGTAACTGGATTACAACCTAAACCTTCTTTAAAAGTGCCTGTCCTTTGACGTGTATATACTCCTTGTTGGATGAATAAAGTTTAGACTAGGTTCAGCATTGTTAGAAGAGAATGAAATTAGATAATAGATTTGTTTAGAATTTTTTTTTTGTCTGCTTGTGCTCCTAACCCCTTTTTTAGAAGGTAAGAGAAGCTTGCAGTATTATTTCATTAACTTGGAATCTTCAGCCATCTTTATATGCCAGTAGGAACTTCTTGTAAGTTCTTAGTACTTTTTTCCTTCTTATTTTGTATAAGTTGGTTTGGGATGAGCTTAAATGGAGCAACATGGTCCATGAGGATTGATTAACCGACCCCAACTTGCTTGAGATTGAGGCATAGCTGTTGTTCTTGTTATTGTTGAAGATTTGTCACCCATATTACTAGTGCACTGGATGATAAGTTCCTTTAAAGTTGTACGTACCATTTTTGAAGTTTTGCTTATAAATTTATACATGTTGTTCATTTTCTCTCTTGAAGGACTTCCTTTCATGTTTGATACTATACTTTCTACAGGAGTGACATAAAGCTGTAGATGTCTAGGACTAATTCAGGCTTTAAATACTCGGTCCTAGTGTTGAATTTTCAAAAGCCAGCTGATGGAGGAAACATCCCCATCAGCTTTATGTGACTTTTTTACTGACTTACCTTGGAAGTAATTTGATTTTTTATCACAATCATGGTGTGAATGTTTGGATTAGCTATTATATTTGGGTATTCATGGCCTCATTCATGTATCTTTGGTGTTACGGCTGTGTAATTTTGTTAGCTATCTTGCATTTTGTATTCCTGTGCCCTTCTCAAGCAGATGATGTCAATGCAGGATCCTTGACTTATTTGAAAGCTGCTATCTTAAATCAGTTTGGATTAGCAATGCCTCCAAATCCTAGGGTCGATCGTGCTTTTCGTTCTATGAAAGCTCTTGGTATTTCTGGAGAGAAGGTGAAGCCAGTGTTGAAGAATCTTTTAAGATTGTATAACAAAAACTGGGACCTTATAGAAGCTGAGAACTATAGGGTCCTTGCCGATGCAATATTTGATGATGATGAAGCAAAGGTGCTCGCTTCCTTCATTTCCTAACCTTCTGTTTCTCTTCCCTTTTAGTGAGTGCTCCCTCCGTTTCATTTTTGTGGGGTGTTTCATTAGGCATGGAGTTTAAGAAAGGAAGGAGGACTTTTGGAATATGCCGTCTTAAACATGGCATGACATTTCTGTGGCTATAAAATCATGCGATCAAGGTTAAAAATGAGAAGTTGTAGTTAAAACTGTTGCCAAATATAGAAATATGTCAATTCTTTTTGGAACACACTAAAGAGGAAAGAGTGTGACATCAAATGGAACAGAGGGAGTACTTTGTTTTCCGTTTTCTGCTTTATCTTTCATTTGAGCTAATTTGCTGACATGCTTTCTTTGCTTTCAGGATGCAGAAATTAAAAAGTCAACTGAGGATACCGAAGTATTGGGCTAATTTTTTCTTGACTGTATTTCCTGATATGACATTTTACTTAAGTCTCTTTACTCACTCACCTTTACTTCCTTGCATTTTCCGGTTTCGTTCAGCAAGAGGCTCTGGTGCAAGATGAGCCTGAACCACCTCTGAAAAGGCAGCGCTTCAAAAGTCAATCAAGTCAACCAAATGAGTCTCTTGAATCTCAATTGCAAAACCAGTCACCTGGTGATTTTGATTCCCCTCAGTCCATGGGCAATGAATCACAACCTGGATCACACCCATCACTTGATAGAAACAAAGGAAAGCAGCCCATGTTTGCCGATTCATTAGTACCACAGGAAGAGCTGCCTTCATCTCAGCCTTCTGACGTGGACAAGAGCCTTCCAGTTCCCAGGAGAGCTGGATCTACTTCTGGTTCTGGCATCCCAGTGTCACCTACGAAGAATGCCATTGCTAATCACACTCTTATCAAACCTAAGGATGAGCCAATCACTGATGACCTGCCAAGTCTTGAAGTTCCTGTTGCCATCATCCGCCCAGGTAGACTCTTATCTCATTTTCATTCTTATATTCAATCTTGTGTTGGTAAAATAAGCGTTGGAAGGAGGGACTCTTTTAGTTTTATGTGTGCTCTTGCGGTTGGCAAATTCTAGAACAAGATTGCTTTGCTCTGCAAATTTTGTTTTCAGGCACCAGCTTCATACTATATGATGTCCTTAAAGTCAAAATTGACTTTAACAGAGCAGTATTTCAGGATCACTCCTAAGCCTTGAGTGCTTCCAAAATTCCCCAATTCTTCCACTGAATTTCAAATTTTTTATTTGCCTATCCAACTTCAAGAATTGGTTGGGTTGTCTATTTCCATGTGTCCTTGTCGCCAACTTTACAGAAAGTATTCAGCAATGCTAAAGAAACGTGGAAAGTCGCTATTTTTGATTATGAAGGCGGTATGTTTTTGTGCATGTTATCCTTGCGCAAGGATACATCTTAGTAGCTTACCCTCCCCATACCCCATTTGTGGGATTACACTGGGCATTTGTTGTATCCTTGCGCACTGGCCATGCTAATCTTTTGACGGGTCACAGTTTAATTAATTTTAATTTCTTTGCTCTTTTATAATATTCTCTAAGCAGGGAAAAACTATTTCCTTCTTTACTATGGTTATATATAACATAAAAAAAATAAAAAATTCTTGAAAATATTTTGACAAGGTTCCTCGTGAGTCATGTGTCAATTTGACCTGCATATCAATCTAGTTTTTAAATGGGTTGAGCTAACAAACTTGGGCGGGTCATGTTTTCATGTGTTTTTGGTCTCCCCTAGATGTGCCCCCAAGGACATTATGAACATCGTATGCTTGATCACTAGTAGTAATACTTTTTGTTGGTGTTTTAACTTCGATACAAGGCCTACATGGGCGCGTCTTTTGCTTTTCTGAGAGCATGTGATCTGCATTTGCAGGTTCATCAAGTAAAGGGAAGTCTTCAGTTGCAAGTGGTTCAGAAGGTAGACATGGTGATAGTAACGCATCAGCCACTGTAGTTGAAGCAGATACAAATGATGGAAATCCACCCAGTCCAGTTGTAGCTAATGGCAAGCCTGAAACAAGTACAGTTAAGTCTTCTTCCGCCCTGGAGATGGCTTCCTCACAATCTGGAGAGGTGAAAATGATCTTGACCTATGGCTCGGTCCTTGGAAGATCAGATTTCCAGATGCCTACTCTTGATGCAGTGGTGAAGTTAATGGACGATAAATGTCAGAAAGAGTACAAAGAGCTCGATCCTAATTTTTCCGTGATGAAGGTCATGACAGACATTTGTCAGTGCTTCTTGGAGATGAGCGGTGAATCAACTAATAAATCATCTGACGAGTGAACGAAATATGTCCTATGAAAGCATGAAGAGGGAAGGAACGAGACGAGTTAACTTTGCAAAACTTACATTGAGCTAACAACATTCTGTGTTAAGCTCAAAATTGAGCTTAATAACATCTTTCCTAGAATTCTGCTGTTTCTCTTTCTGTGTTCTTTTATGTATACATTTGGTATTAGATTTCGCTGTTTTCGACGTTAAGAAGTTCCCTTTTCAGGGAGGAGGAAAATGTGTGAATGTGTTGGTGAAGAACCTGTGTTCTTGAAAATGAAGACATATTTCCTTCCTTTACAAATGGTTCAACTATGTTTTTTTTCTTCTGTTTGGTTGTTCACCCAATATCCCTGCATTCGAGTCTAACTAAGATTAGTTTCATTATTGGGGCTCGACTCGATACCTCTGAGTGTGACTAAGATTTGTTCCATTCTTGGGGCTTGACTCGAGACCTCTGACTAAGATTAGTTCCATTATTGGGGCTCGACTCGATACCTCTGAGTGTGACTAAGATTTGTTCCATTCTTGGGGCTTGACTCGAGACCTCTGACTAAGATTAGTTCCATTATTGGGGCTCGACTCGATACCTCTGAGTCTGACTAAGATTTGTTCCATTCTTGGGGCTTGACTCGAGACCTCTGACTAAGATTAGTTCCATTATTGGGGCTCGACTCGATACCTCTGAGTCTGACTAAGATTTGTTCCATTCTTGGGGCTTGACTCGAGACCTCTGAGGTTTTGATTGAGGTCTGACTAAGATTAGTTCCATTATTGGGGCTCGACTCGATACCTCTGAGTCTGACTAAGATTTGTTCCATTCTTGGGGCTTGACTCGAGACCTCTGAGGTTCTGATTGACGTCGATGGGATTTTAGTTATTTCACCAGAACTCATGTTGGTGAATGAGGGCAGATTCTAGTCATTTCACCAGAACTCATGTTGGTGAATGAGGGCAGTTTAGTATATTGCTTTGATATTTTCTTTGCTTTATTCAAGCAGCTTGGTTAGAGATTAGAGATTGAGACTTCTGTCTGCTTTTTTTTTTTTTCGTCGAGCATTTAACGTACTCACACAATTCATTTTAAATAGGATTTGTCCCTTGAATACACGAGCAATCCACTTCGTAGGATTTTCTTTTCCTTTTTTCATTTTTACCTCAGTAGGTCTCCCTGTAATAGGGATATCTACGAGAACTCTTACACATATCTTACTATTTTTTTGAAATTGTCTGCTCATAGCACGATGAAAGTGTCCGATTATAGCAAGATGTGTTGTTTGATATGAAAAACAACCAATTCTACAACTTTTTGTGTCATATCTTTCAAAACCAAATTGTATATTGCCCCGTTTGCAACACAGTTTGGTTCATGGAATAAAGTGGGATATTTTAGGATTAATTTTGAAATTAAATTTGTTGCTTTATTAAGAATTTATATCTCAAACTTGATTTTATTTTATCATATACCTAAAATGTGAGATGAATTAGTATAAGGATTATAATTATGTGATAAGTTTTATCCTAATCAAAGGGATCCCCCTAATTTGAACTATGAGATTAACTTATATCCATTGACAGTGGACAAAACAAATTACATCATCAGCTCATTTTTAGAAATACTTATTTTTAAAATATATTACTTATTATTAATATTTAAATAATAATAATAATAAACTATTATATGATAACTTGAACTCTAAATTAATTGTACGAGTTTGTTTAGGATTCTTCTTGGTTACTAAAGATAAGAAGATTTTTTGCAATGTTTTCTTGTATTCGTTATTTTTACCTGATTCCCCATCAACACCATTGAAGCAATTTAAGACAATCATCAATGATAACTTTTTTTTTTTTAAAATCTAGGCTACTTGATTTCATAAAAAGAATTATTCATAACTTATTAAGTCTTTCTTTGTAACACGAAAAAGTTTTTTAATAGATGCTTTCATTACTTCAACTTTTCTCTTCTTAGTTTAGTTTATCGACAATATCAAAATTAATTGAAAATAAACTTTGATCCATATACATTCATACGTCAACCAATTTATTTAAGTAATACTCAAAGTTGATAGTATAAAAAATATTTAATCGGTATTTCAAAACAATTTTAAATTTATAGAACGTCTTTAAAATTAAAAAAGAAAAGAAAAAGAGAAGCTAAAAGAATTATTAATCTTAAATATGAAAATATTATAATTAAATTAAAAGAAATAATTATTTTTGTCAATTTAATGTAACGACCTGTTTAGTCGTTTTGAGCAGCAGATTTTATTTCTGGAAAAACAGGCTGAGACGACGGAACCCACGACGGACCGTCATGAGCACGACGGACCGTCGAGGGATCTCGTTCCAAAACACTTGGGAATTCTGAAATTTGAGTGCTGAAATCGACTCTCTGAACTCTGTGACGGACCTGCAGGACGGACCGTCACAGGCACGACGAACCGTCGTGATCCGCCGTTTCAAAACACTTCAACTCTTGAGAATTTGGTACAGGGAACGATTCTCTGAACGTCGTGACGGAAGTGCAGGACGGACCGTCGTAGGTACGACAGGCCGTCACAGACTCCTTAAGGAAATCGAGTCTCTGACGAACCTGCATGACGGACCGTCGCAGGAGCGACGGGCCGTCACAGGTTGCGTAATCCCAGTCGGAGTCGAATTTCTGGTTAAGTTTTAAAGGGGCGTTTTGGACTATTCCTGCTATAATTATATATTTCATGGGTTTATATTAATAACTCAATTTCTTGGGGGATAAAAGAGGTAACCTTGAGTTAAATTGTGGGTTATTATTGTCATCTTTTACACTTAATTACATGTTAGTTAGGGTAAAAGAAAGAGGGTTTGACTAAGAAAAATAGAAAGAACAAAAAGAAAAGAGAGGGGATCGAACGAGAGAAAAGGGAAACGAAGAGGATAGCAAAGATCTTGAGGAATTGCTTGCTTGATCACGAAATCTTCGGTGGAGGTAGGTTATGGTTTCTCTTACGATATTTGTAGTAAACTCTTAATAGCGAATGATATGTATTGATAATATTGTAAACTCTGCTATGTGCTTACTTGTATGCTTGCATGAATGTAATTATATAATTGTGATTATATAAGCATGATGAAGTTATTGAATCCCAAATCTTGAAAAACCCTAATCTCTTTGTTAATGATGAGGCCTTGGTATAAAAGAAGGCGTGATGAACTAAAATAATGAGATTGATGAAGCCTTGGTAAGAAAGAAGGCTTGATGAATTGATAGAAGGAGATTAGGGGATCGGGTGCCATGTTCCGGTACCAGGATAGTATATGAGGATCGGAGTGTCACGTTCCGACACCAGGATAGAATATGGATCGGGTGACACGTTCCGGTACCAGGATAGAATGAGGATCGAAGTGTCACGTTCCGACACCAGGATAGAATATGGATCGGGTGCCACGTTCCGGTACCAGGATAGAATGAGGATCGGAGTGTCACGTTCCGACACCAGGATAGAATGAGGATCGGAGTGTCACGTTCCGACACCAGGATAGAATATGGATCGGGTGCCACGTTCCGGTATCAGGATAGAATGAGGATCGGAGTGTCACGTTCCGACACCAGGATAGAATATGGATCGGGTGCCACGTTCCGGTACCAAGATAGAATGAGGATCGGAGTGTCACGTTCCGACACCAGGATAGTATATTGAGGAGCGGAGTGTCATGTACCGACACGAGAGGCGAGAGGAATAAAGATAATGAATCTTGAAAGATGTTAATATACTCAATCTAATGAACCTAAATCCCAAATAAGTATGATGAGGAGGCGTGAGTCCTCATTGATGAGCTTGGTGTTGTAACCAAGGGTTATGGTAATTGTAAATGCTACATGTTGAGTATCATAGTTGATTTTATGATATTACTTGGTATATACTGTTTTCTATTTTGAGTTGGCCGATGATACCTACTCAGTACTTGTGTTTGTACTGACCCCCTACTTTTATGTTTTCTTCTTTGTTATTTGTGGAGTGCAGCAAACGTGCCATCGTCTTCAACTCAACCGCAACTCTAGCCAGTCTTTATTACTCCGGATTTCAGGGTGAGCTAAAGCTTCTAGCTTGGACTGGATCTTCTTCTTCATGTCTTGATGCCTTGAAGTTCCGGCATGGACTAGCTGTTTATGTATTTTAGCTTCTTAGATACTCTTAGATTTAGTAATTCGAAGTAGATGTTCTTGTGATGATGACTTCCAGATTTTGGGGTTAATAATAGTTATTGATTTTATTAATGAGTTTAAGTCTTCCGCATTACTTTCTGTTGATATTATATTGAAATGTTAAGGTTTAGATTGGTTGGTTCGCTCACACAGGAGGGTAAGTGTGGGTGCCAGTCGCGGCCCGATTTGGGTCGTGAAAAACTTGGTATCAGAGCATTAGGTTCGTTGGTCTCATCACATAAGAACGAGTCTAGTAGAGTCTTAAGGAACGGTAGGGGGACGCCTTTACTTTTCTTTGAGAGGCTATAAGACTTTAGGAAAATTCCAGTCTTTCTTTCTTTCGTGCTATTACTTGGGTCCAATTGGTATCTAGGTGATACAAATTGGTATCTGACCATCTTCACTCTATTTCGCAGATGGTTAGAACTAGAGCAACAATCGCGCCAATACCAGCACCGGCGGGACAGGGTGCGTCTGAGCCAGCCACTGGGGCTGTGGCTCGAGGAAGAGCAACGACAAGAGGCCGTGGTAGAGGTCGTGGGAGGACGTCCTCTAAAGGAAGAGGACGAGCACCTAGCCCATCTGATACTAGGGCAGTGACTCCTCCACCGACTGAAGAAGTAGTAAGAGAGGGGGAGGAAGGGGAAACTGAGCAAGTGCAGAATGAGGAATTGCCATCCCAACCTACCCCCGAGATGATAAATCAGGTGCTTGCTTATCTTAGTGGGTTATCTGATCAAGGTCAAACACCTCCAGTGTTTTCTGCACCAGCACCTCAGGCTCCGGAGGTACAACATGCGGCTACTATGGCTCCCCGCATGGATGCCTCATGGAAATAGGCACATTTCCTCGTCTGACTGCAGGGCCTGTAATGACAAATGATCAGCATGAACTTTTCAGTAAGTTCTTGAAATTGAAACCTCCAGTCTTCAAGGGTGCTGAATCGGAGGATGCTTACGATTTTCTGATTGACTGTCATGAGCTACTACACAAGATGGGTATAGTATAACAGTTTGGTATTGAGTTCCTGAGTTATCAGTTTCAAGGGAACGCCAAAATGTGGTGGCGGTCACATGTTGAGTGTCAATCAACAGAGGCACCACCTATGACTTGGGCATCATTC